TTCTTTTTTTTTTTTTTTTGCCGCCCCCCCTCCCCCCCCCCCCCCCCACGCCCCCCCCCCCCCCCCCCCCCCCCGCAATTATCCATCCTAATAGATTAGTGTAAGCTCTTCACTTTTTTTGTAGAATTGTGAAGTAACCTAATAATTAAGAAGGGTGCAACTGTACCAAACTAATAGAGTTTAGTTACGTGAAAGTGCATAACAAAAGGTAATTGTATTTCTGAAGCAGGAAAAACAAGATTTGAGTTCCGGAGATGTGCCCAATACTGATGATCAGAATGATTCAGACTCTATGCCTCCTCGTAAGAAAATTAAAAAGACAGAGAATGGAATGTATGCCTGTGATTTGTGTGATAAAATATTTCAGAAAAGCAGTTCACTTCTTAGACACAAGTATGAGCACACAGGTAAGAGAAATAACCATGTATTTTTATACATTGTCTTGTCTGTTTTCAGTTTGAAACACAATTGATGTACTTTATTTTATAAACTGGTACTCCTTTTTCATGTGCTGCACACGTAGCAAAGCAACTAATGTAGCTAAGAATATAATAGGAGCCCTTCAAGCCTACACCACCATTCAGCAAGACCATAACTGATCATCTACTTTCACCTTCCCACACAATTCCAATGTCCTCAATCTCCCTAGTGGTTTAGGTGCTATCAATATCTCTTGAAAATTTCCAGGCTAAGCATCTACAGCTCTTTGGGATAGAGAATTGTAAGGATTTGCAGCCATTCAGTTGAAGGAATTTATCCTCATCTCACTCCTAAGTAGCTAACCCTATTATTTCGATACTGTGACTCTATTCTAGATTCACCAGTCAGAGGGAACATCATCTGTACATCTAAACTATCAAATCCTTTAAGTATTTGATCTGTTTCACTTCTCATTCTTCTAAATATAGATCTAGGCTACTCAATCCCTTTGCAGGACAATCCTTCCTTTTCATGAATGGTGGTAAGTGTGTCCTCCTTTAGGCAAAGAGACCAAACTACATCTAGTACTTCAGGTATGGCCTTAGAAGCCAGTCCCTTTGTAACAGAGGTTAACATACCATTTACCTTCCTGATTGCTTCCTACAAACATATGTAAATTTTCTTGGGTTCTTGTCGAATGCTGTCTGAATGCAAGTATTTTTTAAAACATGCCTCTCCTTTACTACTATAACAAATTGATAACTTCATACCACCCTATTCTATTCCATCTGCCATGTTCTTGCCCACTCACCCAACTAACTATTGTCCCTGAAAAGAGAAGTACATGCTGGATCCTGGAAAAACTAAATCCTGGAAGTACTGAACAGGTCGGGCAGCATTTGTGGAAGGGGGAAGATGTTAACAATTCAGGTCAATCTCTGCAACTTCTTTGCGTGGTCCTCACTACTTAGTTTCAAACACAACTTCATATTGACAGCAAACCTTTAAGAAACTACACTCCCTAGCCTTATTATAAGTCAGCAGTATAATTTAAATAGATGAGGCCCAAGAACAGGTTGTTGCATTACCCAGTTAGTTGCAGTCTGTCAATCCAAAAAATATCTTGTTTATTCCTTCTGTTTTGTAACCATTTGTCAGTTTTCAATCCATTATTTTTAATCCCATGAGTCCAGTTTTGCGTAATAGCCTTTTGGCTGGCAATTTGGATATTTACAAAGGATTCAATAAAAACACCTCCACTGATTTCCCTCTTCCCCCACCCTGCTTAGTTCAATCTTCTAACACTCAGATTTGTCAAACACTATTTCTCTCTCATTAATCTGGCCGATTCTGCCTAATCAAAATTAACACATTATTTGCAACAAAAACACATCTCTTAAAGGTAAGAAAACTCCCCTGGAAAAATGGTCCATTGGAGATGCTTGTAATATTGCCAGAAAATATAGTAAGCTTGAGAATTGGAGAGGTTTTATCTGTAGTCTGTCTTTTTTTCCCCATCTTTGTTTCTGAGGGTTTGGCCACAGACTTCCATTGGATTGTTCCATGCTTATGGCGAAAGTACTGGAGTGGTTTACCATTCCTTGTGCATGATGGCTGAATTGGAGTGACTCCCACTACTACCTGCCATCAAACATATTGGAACGGTTTATAGACTGACAATCAGCATGTCTCACCATGTTATAAATGCACCTTCAATGGCCACAAGTTCTGACAAGGGAATTGAACCCAATGTTTCTGGAATAGGAATGCCACCACTGCACCATAAAACATGAAGGGATCTTAGAATTCAATAAATGAGAATCAAGAAATTGATAAAGAAAGATGAGCGAAAATATGAAAGTAGGCTAGATTATAAATGGTTCTCTGAATGTGAAGAGGAAGCAATTAGTGAAAATTAAAAATAGGGCTTTTTACGGTAAGGGCAAATAAAATTATAATTGGGAACAAGGAGATTGCAAAGGCATTAAAATAAACCATGTATATCTACCTTCTCTGGAAAGTTTAAATATTATTCTAGAAATAAAGTGGAACCAAGGTTCTGGGATCATGGGGTGGCACGGTGTGAAGTTGCTGGAAAACTCAGCAGGTCTGGCAGCATCTTTGATTTACAGCATTTGCAATTCTCTTGGTTTTTCTTCTAATCAACCTGTTCAGAGATATTATTTCAGGTCTCTTGGTTCGGGGTAGGAATACTACCATTCTGCCACAAGAGAGCTGACCCGTCCCTAATTGCTCAGAGGCAGATAAGAATCACCTTGCTGCATGTCTGGAGTCATCAGCAGGCCAGACTAGCTAAAAATGGTAAATGTCCCTCTGGTGGCTCAGTGGTTAGCACTGCTGCCTCACTGTATTAGGGACCCTGGTTCAATTTCATTCCACACAGACAGTTACCCATTCTCCTTATGCCTGTGAGGGTTTCCTCCCACAGTGTAAAGATATGCAGGTTAGGTGGATTGGCCATGCTAAATTGCCCATAGCGTTCAGGGATGTGTAGGTTAGGTGGATTAGCCATGGGAACTACAGGGGTACAGGGATGAGTCGGAGTGGCCTTGTTGGGCTGAATGACCTGGTTTCCACACTGTAGGGATTCTGTGACAATCTATGATTAGTGAACCAGAGGATTTTTAATGGCCATCAACACACTTCAATGTTGACCATGTAAACAAACTTTTAATTCTGAATTTTACCAATGGTGGCCTTTCAAAGGCTACCACCTGCCTGCATGTTGAGGTAAATAGAGGAAATGGACTCACTTTTGCTGTTCCCCTTGTAACTTTCAGGGAGAAGAAAATCTTTCTCTATTTATTTATTTTCTTGTATTATCACCATTGTTTTTGGCCCTGAAGATCTAACTCTTCTGTCTTTCAATCTTTCCTCCTTGCTCAAAACCTAATACATTTTTTGTTTTGGTTTTCCCAATTATAATTAATAGTCACAGGTAGATATAAAACGTTAACTCAGATTTTTGCAGCTTTTGTTGACCTGTATTGGTAGGTTTTTAGGTTCGATTTGGTTCCACTAGTGGTGACTTCTGTTGCCTTTATGGTTTATAGAGTCGCAGAACATGGAAACGGACCCTTCGGTCCAACTAGTCCTCGCCAACCACATTCCCAAACTAAACTAGTCCCACTTACCTGTATTTGGCCCCTATCTTTCCTATTTGTGTATTTATCCAAATGTCTTTTAAATGTTGTAGTTGTAACGGTACCTGCATCTAACACTTCCTCTGGAAGTTAATTTCACATAGAACTGTTCTGTGTTTTGAAAAAAAAAAGAAAATTGCCCTGCATCCTTTTTGAATCTTTCTCCTCTCACCTTGAAAATGTGTCCCCCTAGTTTTTAACTCCCCCCATCCGAGGGAAAAGACTCTTGCTATTCGCTTTATCTATGCCCCTCATGATTTTATGAACCTCTGTAAGATCACCCTTCAACCTCCTATGGTCCAGTGTAAAAAGTCCCAGCCTATTTTTATAACTCAAACCCTCCATTTGTAGCGACGTCCTGATAAATCTTTTCTGAATCTTCTCCAATTTAACATATATACCTGTGTTGGGGTTGACTATTCCATGGATACTACTTTTGAGGGACAGAAATTCATGCTACAGTCAAAAATAGTGTATCGTTAGCAGAAGCCCAATTGCACACAAAGGGAGGTTGTCACCTGACTCTGACCTGATGTGTCTTAAATTTTCGTGCCAAATTCATCCATTTCCTCTCACTGCTGTTGTTTTAGTTTTTCAAACTAACATTTTTAAGCTTTTATTTCTGATTTTAAAAAAAAAAGTTCAGACATCTGACTTTTGTACAGTCTTACTGATCATTGAAGCCGTGAGAAATCATCAACAGCTGCACGTCCATTTGATCGGGGTATGGTAATTATAGTGAAGTAAATGCATATAGGCCTATCTTCTGTTGGAAATAATGGTGTGATAAATGTTGTATCACACTAATTATACTAATTATAGTGCTTACTCAGTGATGAGCTTAAGAAATCTGTAGTCCAACGTTGGTGTGAATTGTACATCAAAACACAATAGCACAAAAAATTTCCTTTATCGTAACGACACTTGACTCTCAAACATTGATCTGTTATCGGTGAAGAACTAGGGTTGACTTTTACACAAGATATGGAAAATTCCAGATTTTTTTTTTTTGGCCAAAAGTAGGGAGTCAACCTTTACATAAGATCGACTTTTACTTGAATGTAAATGGTGATAATATCATTCCTGTCGTGGGGTGACAGGAACTGCACACAGTACTCCTGAAGAGACCTCACCAATGTACTATTCAACCTCCAACATGACCTCCCAACTCCTATACTGAAACGTCTGAGCAATGAAGGCGAGCATGCTAAACACCTTTAACCACCCTCTCTAATGGTAATGCAAAATGAACAGCAAATGTTTGAAGATAGGGGAAAATCTATCACCACTTGAGGTTGTTTATTCTGAATGCATGCACCCTAAATGGGACTATCTCATAAGATGCAAAGGTGCACTGAAAGTCTGTTTTATGGTTTTGTCCTTTTTCCTCTTCTGTCTGTTTCATCAAAGATAGAATTTAAGATTTTTGCTACCGAGCTATGTAATGCTATAATTGATATAGAGGTAGTAGGAACTGCAGATGCTGGAGAATCTGAT